CAATATTACCGTTTACAGGAGAGAAGAAAGTTCCGGATGCCCAGGTATGGTAATTGAGGCGTGTGGTGTGCCAGTCCTTTCCCAGAAGTGAGGCAGACGAGGAGCGGTAAAAACCCTCAACCCAGGACCTGCCCCGCGCTACCTTATACAGCCTCCTCCCCCCTTACCGCCCCCTTACCGTCCCTTCTACCGTCCAACACGTAGTCATAGTAAGAACCTTAAATCATTTGAGTAAGAATTTGTTTCCATTAGTGTTATCTTTGTTTTCTTTGTTGTGTTTTGTTGTGCTTTTGTTGTTCTAGTTTTTGTTCTTTTGTTTTTAATTGATTCAAAATATCTATCAACTATTCTGTTATTTACAATCGTTAATACAGTACTAACATAGTTATTTGCCACATAGGTAATAAATGTTGTTTTTCATTATAAGTTACGTTTGTTTTTCATTATAAGTTACGTTTGTTTTTCATTATAAGTTACGTTTGTTTTTCATTATAAGTTACGTTTGTTTTTCTTTATAAGTTACGCTTGTTTTTCATTATAAGTTACGTTTGTTTTTCATTATAAGTTACGTTTGTTTTTCATTATAAGTTACGTTTGTTTTGCATTATAAGTTACGTGAGAATAGCAACACGAGAACACACTACACTACATAACACAGAAAGAAATATGAGTAAATAAATGTTGAAACCCTACTCTGCTACGTGACGGTCTGGTCAGGTAGCCAGGTAGAGCGAATAGTTTCAAGGGATATATGATGCGCTGAAAGTAATGAGATCTTCATCTTTTTTTTTTAATGTCCAAGAAGAAAGTACAGCTTTCTAGGAACTTTCGTCTGTCTATTAATTTACTTTGGTCAAACCTTACAAATTTACTAGTCATTTCCTGACCGTAAAATAAATAATAAAAACAATAGCAAAAATAAATCCACCGAAGTAATAGCTACGCTTAAATAAAGGAGTAATCTAAATAAAATAAGATCACTCATAATAAAGTAATAATTTCTCACCAGTTGATTTTATAATGTTCTGCTTCGCTTCAGCTAAAGTCTTCAAACACGTATTCTAAATTAGTCAATACACTACTCATAATATTGATTATGTGTTAAAGGAATATCCTTCCTTCCTTAGGCTTTAGTGAGCCCCTTTATAATATTTATACTGTATATACTTGTGACACTTGCCAGATGCTTCTGGTGTTATTGTACAGGGGTACCTAGTGACAGCACTAGGATCCCGCTTCCTCAATCAAGGAATAAACAATTGAAATTGAATACACTACTCATCAACAATTGTTTTCGGCACCTAGCCCCTCCAGGCCTCCATTACTGACGTCACTGGGCACCGATGTAAATATTCCGTTGACTAGAATCACTGAATTTTAGAAAGTCGTTGAGTTACGGTAAAGGACAATATAACATCTGACTAATTATATATATATATTTTATGTTACATCCTAAAGAAGCTTCATAGATATCCTCTCAAATACCTGGTTAATGGAATAAGAAATAAGGTTCCAAGTCTCTGAGAACCTGAGCACCTGCCCTGACTAGCATTGATCGGTCAGTGTTAACCTATAAACAAGGGATCCCCCCCCTGACCAACGTAACTTTTGTTGACCATCGACTTATTACTTAATATTAAGGAAATACTCACTGAGAGATAAGAAAGGTCGCCTACCGGGTCATCCAAGGCTGACTGACCCTACATGAAGCGTTGTAATATCCGCTGTCTTGCTCTGATGTGTGTGTTTGTGTGTGTGGTAAACATCTGTCCCATTTCTTTTTAATATTCCAGTACAAGATCTTTCACACTGGACACTAAAAGAAGTTAGGATAAATGCTTTCACTCTCATCAAGACCTTACGTGACTTCTGTGTCCTCTCGCCTCCCGGACATGCCGAGGAAAATGAATAAATCCCAGTTGATTATGGCGGGTGGTTGGTGACCTGAAAAAATAAAGAGAGAAAACTTACCATATATATTTCTAAATTATGTTCAAAATAGAAAAAATAAGATAAAAAGATACACACACATAAGTTTATATTAATGACGAGTGTACTTAACTAATCAAGGAATACGCATTTAAAAGCCTACATTGTTGACGCGTAGTAATACATCATTTAATGCTAATTTTATTTCCCATTTCACCACTTACCAGAGCCATTAGGCGGTGGGTCTGTTCTGTGTTACTTTGTTATGATCTTTATCGTCCAGTGTTAGTACAGGAGGAAACTAAAGTACCTGGAGGAACCCTTTAATATTTGGTAGATGATCACTGGATAACACCCAACCTTCTCACACCTGTCCCGGGCCAGGAATCGAACCCAGGATATAGCTATGAAAGACACTCACAGTACACCTATACAACCAACAACAACATCGATACATGAAACAAAATCCTTGCTAATGAGGCTATACATTAACACCCACCTGTCTTATAAACACGACAGGTGTGTATGTGTAACAATAAGGGAGAAACATCACACAGTATCAAGAACAATTAATTATTAGCACCAGATACAACAGGTTATCATCAGCAGGTGTCTCGGGGTGATGGCCGAGTCCCTCATCAACTCCCAGCATATTTTTGTTTCCAGGTGTAAAATTTCGTTGAGTTAAAGCCAATTTTTGTACTAAATGGAGCCTAATTAAGTCTCTCTCTCTCTCTCTCTCTCTCTCTCTCTCTCTCTCTCTCTCTCTCTCTCTCTCTCTCTCATTTATCTTCTTCTCGTACTATTTCTTCAATTATTCTCTCCGTTTCTCCCGTGCGTTGTGTGTTTTGACTCTGCCTCGTTCTTATAATTATACCTGGAGTAAAACCTTATATTAATAGGTAAAGAAACTCTCCAATGGCGCGGCGAGTAATTCCAGGATAAGAGTAATACTAAGTTGTGATTGGATGAGTCCTGCCTGGGTTTTTTTTTTGGGGAGGGAGGGAGGAGGGAGGAAGATGGAGGGAGGGAGGAGGGAGGAGCTGAAGGAGGGAGGAGAGGGGAGGGAGGAGGGGGGTTTCACTGCCATACATAGAATTTCATCCTATCTACCTGTTTATCACACTTCTTTCATCCCTTTTATCATTCTTTCATCACACTTTTTCATCACCTTTACTTCTTTCATCACTTTTATCTTCTTTCATCACCTTCTTTCATCACACTTCTTTCATCACCTTTATCACCGCTTCTTTCATCTTCTTTCATCAACTTTATCTTTCATCACTTCTTCTTTCATCACCTTTATCTTTATCACACTTCTTTCATCACACTTCTTTCATCACACTTCTTTCATCATCATACTTCTTTCATCACTTTTATCACACTTCTTTCATCACCTTTATCACACTTCTTTCATCACCTTTATCACACTTCTTTCATCACTTTATCATACTTCTTTCATCCCTTTTATCATACTTCTTTCATCACTTTTATCACACTTCTTTCATCACCTTTATCACACTTCTTTCATCACTTTTATCACACTTCTTTCATCACTTTTATCACACTTCTTTCATCACCTTTATCATACTTCTTTCATCACCTTTATCACACTTCTTTCATCACCTTTATCACACTTCTCTCATCATCTTTATCACACTTCTTTCATCCCTTTTATCACACTTCTTTCATCACTTTTATCACACTTCTTTCATCACTTTTATCACACTTCTTTCATCCCTTTTATCACACTTCTTTCATCCCTTTTATCACACTGCTTTCATCACTTTTATCACACTTCTTTCATCACTTTTATCACACTTCTTTCATCCCTTTTATCTTTCATCACTTTTATCACACTTCTTTCATCACCTTTTATCACACTTCTTTCATCACCTTTTATCACACTTCTTTCATCACTTTATCACACTTCTTTCATCCCTTTTATCACACTTCTTTCATCACTTTTATCACACTTCTTTCATCCCTTTTACCTTTATCACACTTCTTTCATCACTTTTATCACACTTCTTTCATCACTTTTATCACACTTCTTTCATCACCTTTATCATACTTCTTTCATCACCTTTATCACACTTCTTTCATCACCTTTATCACACTTCTCTCATCATCTTTATCACACTTCTTTCATCCCTTTTATCACACTTCTTTCATCACTTTTATCACACTTCTTTCATCACTTTTATCACACTTCTTTCATCCCTTTTATCACACTTCTTTCATCCCTTTTATCACACTATCACACTTCTTTCATCCCTTTTATCACACTTCTTTCATCCCTTTTATCACACTTCTTTCATCACTTTTATCACACTTCTTTCATCCCTTTTATCACACTTCTTTCATCACCTTTATCACACTTCTTTCATCACATTTATCACACTTCTTTCATCACCTTTATCACACTTCTTTCATCACATTTATCACACTTCTTTCATCCCTTTTATCACACTTCTTTCATCCCTTTTATCACACTTCTTTCATCACATTTATCACACTTCTTTCATCCCTTTTATCACACGTCTTTCACCCCTTTTATCACACTTCTTTCATCACATTTATCACACTTCTTTCATCCCTTTTATCACACGTCTTTCACCCCTTTTATCACACTTCTTTCATCACTTTTATCACACTTCTTTCATCCCTTTTATCACACTTCTTTCATCACTTCTATCACACTTCTTCTCTGTAAACTTCCTCACTGTAGCTATTAATCTGTTTTTATCACCATCAAAAAACTTCTCTGAGTGAATGTATGAGCGAGGAATTCCTGGAGGGGTTATGACACTCGGGTCCAGAGAAGTACAGGCAGGCAGGCAGGCAGGCAGGTAGGTGGGTGGGTGAGAGCCTCTAGGAACCTCACTGGAAAAAGGGACACATAGTTGTTGCGTGTTGGAAGCTCAGGTGAAAGGGCGAGAGTCCATGAACATGTGGAAGGACAGAGAGGAAGAGACAACAAGGGTATTTATGGGTTATGTGCGTTAATGCGTCTGTTGGGGGCGTGCGTTCAGGGGTGCATGGTTCAGTCAGGTTGGTTGTGGTGCAAGGGAGGGTATATATAAAGGGCTGACGGGCCATTACTTGTCCTCAGTTCGTGTTGACTCTCGCGGTATCTACACACTCACCTCTCTTCAAGACGTAAGTTAAGTGGGTGATTTAATACGAAAGAAACACAGTGTTGAGGAGAACCAATTCGAACAGTGTGGACAGTGAAACATGAAACAATAATAATTTGGAAGAGTATTTTGTGTGTGTGTGTGTGTCGTATTATCTAGGTATTAAAACAAACAACGTCTTTCTTCTCTTACCAGACTACAGGATGCGGGTGGGAGTGTTGCTAGTGTGTGCCGCGGCGTGGGTGACAACTTTACCTGAAGCAGAAGGAACCCTCAGCTTCGCCACCAGCCTCGGCGGCCTGGCTGCGCTGAAGGCAAGTCATGTCTTCTCTCTCTCTCTCTCTCTCTCACAAGTGTGTCTGAAAAAGTTAAATACAAAATTAAACCACAAAATACATCAATAACTCATACAATGAATAATGTAAAGGGAAAATCATACGAAATTAAAAGAAAAAAAATTACGACAGAGGTGATATAAACATGAATGCATTACTTATTTCTCCTTATGTTTGTTTCTCTGTCTAGGTTCTCAAATACGTCGGGTTGACGAAGCTCAAAGAGAATGTACTAGGTTCAGGGCAGTCTGAGGGCGTCACCGATTTACTCGACTCCGGTTACGACCAAGAGCAGCACCACAACACCGCCCTCTACACTGGTGCGGGCGCCCCTGGACCCTACTACAACCCCGCCCACTACACCGGTGCGGGCGCCCCTGGACCCTACTACAACCCCGCCCACTACACCGGTGCGGGCGCCCCTGGACCCTACTACAACCCCGCCCACTACACCGGTGCGGGCGCCCCTGGAGGCTACTACATCGTCCCTGCTTCCTACTTCGACGACCACCGCATCAGGGTCAAGCGGGACACTCAGGTAGGTGGCCGCTAAGCTCACCTGGTGGACTCTGTGAAGGATCGTGTACTCTATGACGTGACTCAGGGAAGGATCGTGTACTCTATGACGTGACTTAGGGAAGGATCGTGTCCTCTATGACGTGACTCAGGGAAGGATCGTGTACTCTATGACGTGACTTAGGGAAGGATCGTGTCCTCTATGACGTGACTCAGGGAAGGATCGTGTACTCTATGACGTGACTCAGGGAAGGATCGTGTACTCTTTAACGTGACTCAGGGAAGATCGTGTCCTCTATGACGTGACTCAGGGAAGGATCGTGTACTCTTTGACGTGACAGGGAAGGATCGTGTACTCTATGACGTGACTCAGGGAAGGATCGTGTACTCTATGACGTGACGGGAAGGATCGACTCTATGACGTGGGGAAGGATCGTGTACTCTTTGAACGGGAAGGATCGTGTACTCTATGACGTGACTCAGGATCGTGTACTCTTTAACGTGACTCAGGGAAGGATCGTGTACTATGGGTGTGAAAGTTACCACTCTTGTCATCCAATAAGACGAAGAAAAAAAGTGAGTTTGTGGAATTATCAATGACTAAAATATTATGTCCTTCTATAAACACACTTCTAACAATAGCCATCTGTGATAAAGCTTTTTTTTTCCCATGATTCATTAGTATTTATATTCCTTCATTTATAAAGTGTTTTAGTGAAGTAAAAATATCATTCACAGGAGAAGGTTTTGATTGGCTCAGATGAGGAGGAATATTTCGATATGATTGGTGACTTGGACGAGGACGGCTGTGTGCTGAGGACTGTGTGTGAGCTTTCCGCCGCCCCCTACAACCACCTCACCCCGGACGAGCAGCTCATTATGGTTGCTTTCAGGTGTGTGTCATCCCCAATATCTTATGTCTTTACTGGGTTTTATTTAGAATTACTTTATGTATTAGTTGTACCTCTGTGTATCTACATGTGAGACTGGTGTAGCAGATGGCACTACATACCCACTCGTATTATTAAAGTGTGTGACTCCATAAGGCCAGAGAACTGAGAACTTGCAGTTTTCTATAAATCCAGGATATCTCTCATGTACTGCATATAATGTAATCTGAGTACTTCTAATTTGTTCTAGATCTTAATTACTTTAGAAGTCTGAAATTGTAGTTCATTTAGACTACAATTCTTGTTGAAACAACTTCGTATCTTCAATGCTGTTCATCGACACAAAGGATTTACTGCGTGAGTGAACTTATGACAAAACATTTATAGCCGCGCTGATGTACGGTGGTGTAGTACTCGTCTCCTGACCTAAGGGTCGCTGCTTCGTGCCCAGGACACTCAGATGTAATTGGGCACGTGACTTTACAGTTGGGAAGTGAAGGTGCTCGAGTGCAGTGCCGGACACACTGCTTATCAGGGGACCAGCTTACACTTGAATGTTTGGTCATAGATCGTAGTGAAGTTTCGGTTTTATTTAGATTAGATTAGTTTTGAGTGTCAGATATACAGATCTTCAATTAACGTTATTCCCACTGCGTCAACAGCACCGCGACCGACGCCCCAACCTCCGAGGCCCTGCGGACCCATAAGATAAAGCTTTTTGACGTGACTCAGGGAAGGATCGTGTACTCTATGACGTGACTCAGGGAAGGATCGTGTACTCTTTAACGTGACTCAGGGAAGGATCGTGTACTCTTTAACGTGACTCAGGGAAGGATCGTGTACTCTTTGACGTGACTCAGGGAAGGATCGTGTACTCTATGACGTGACTCAGGAAAGGATCGTGTACTCTATGACGTGACTCAGGGAAGGATCGTGTACTATGGGTGTGAAAGTTACCACTCTTGTCATCCAATAAGACGAAGAAAAAAAGTGAGTTTGTGGAATTATCAATGACTAAAATATTATGTCCTTCTATAAACACACTTCTAACAATAGCCATCTGTGATAAAGCTTTTTTTTTTCCCATGATTCATTAGTATTTATATTCCTTCATTTATAAAGTGTTTTAGTGAAGTAAAAATATCATTCACAGGAGAAGATTTTGATTGGCTCAGATGAGGAGGAATATTTCGATATGATTGGTGACTTGGACGAGGACGGCTGTGTGCTGAGGACTGTGTGTGAGCTTTCCGCCGCCCCCTACAACCACCTCACCCCGGACGAGCAGCTCATTATGGTTGCTTTCAGGTGTGTGTCATCCCCAATATCTTATGTCTTTACTGGGTTTTATTTAGAATTACTTTATGTATTAGTTGTACCTCTGTGTATCTACATGTGAGACTGGTGTAGCAGATGGCACTACATACCCACTCGTATTATTAAAGTGTGTGACTCCATAAGGCCAGAGAACTGAGAACTTGCAGTTTTCTATAAATCCAGGATATCTCTCATGTACTGCATATAATGTAATCTGAGTACTTCTAATTTGTTCTAGATCTTAATTACTTTAGAAGTCTGAAATTGTAGTTCATTTAGACTACAATTCTTGTTGAAACAACTTCGTATCTTCAATGCTGTTCATCGACACAAAGGATTTACTGCGTGAGTGAACTTATGACAAAACATTTATAGCCGCGCTGATGTACGGTGGTGTAGTACTCGTCTCCTGACCTAAGGGTCGCTGCTTCGTGCCCAGGACACTCAGATGTAATTGGGCACGTGACTTTACAGTTGGGAAGTGAAGGTGCTCGAGTGCAGTGCCGGACACACTGCTTATCAGGGGACCAGCTTACACTTGAATGTTTGGTCATAGATCGTAGTGAAGTTTCGGTTTTATTTAGATTAGATTAGTTTTGAGTGTCAGATATACAGATCTTCAATTAACGTTATTCCCACTGCGTCAACAGCACCGCGACCGACGCCCCAACCTCCGAGGCCCTGCGGACCCATAAGGGCACCTACGACCGAGCTGCCTGGCTAGGAAAAACGTCGACCGGTGCGGACCAGTCTTGCTCCACCTTGTACAGCAGCTGTCCTGCCTCCGCCCAACAGTTGATGGGGGTCTTCTCTATTCTGGAAAAGACCCAGCGGCCACGACCCCCTCACCAGGCGGCTCCTGACGCCAGCCAAGTCTCCAAGGAAGTCCAGGAGAACGTGCAAGTGCGATAAGACTAAAATTGCCTTTCTTATCTTTACCCTCTTAGGAAACTATCAAAGATATTATGTATTTAAACATATGTTTGTATGTGAGCTTCGTTAGGTTTTGTTAGTCTAAAGTTTATGTATTAAACCTTTTTTCCCATTTATACCCAACTTCTGAATACTGCAAAAAATCTTCTTAATATTCCATGTGAAGACTCAGTTAAGGAAAGTGTGTATTTATCTTCAAGACTTTTTGAGGTGCAGGAACGGTCTCATGGGACTATAAGATGTGTAAGAGAAATAGGACATAAATGTTTTAGTTCTGGATGGTTTAGTCTGTCCTCACGTGACCTTGATCTACTCGTGGTCTAATATGGATCTACTCAGACAAAACCCCCCAGAGCTCTAACGTGCCGTCAGTGTAGTAAGATGTAGTGGTCAGTGTAGACGCGTTGTGGGTCAACGCTGCTCTCACTGACAATAATACCTGAACAATTGCTCACGTAGAGTTGATGTAACGTCTTAGGATGAGTAACCTGGCGTTCACCCTTAGACTGTTGCTTGAATTATGGAGTAGGTCTAGTGTGCGTTTAGATCAGTCTGTACCGAGATACCTCAATGGGGTGTAGTGCATCCCCTAATAAACAAAAATTAACACTAATTATTTTGTTACCTGTACTACATTTCATGTGAGTTTATAAGAAAATAATATTGTTATTAAATATTGTTTTAAATCTGTCACCTTATCCTTTCCCCTTATGGCCCAACACACGGTCACTTTGGCCTGTAAGTCGGACCATGGAATTCCGGTTTATGCAAACTGAGCTTTCACACACACACACATGTCCAGCCCATACGACCACGTACTGATCGCTATAAGAACAGCCCAATCCCAACCACTGTAAAAGTTATCAATAACTCGTAATCAACCAGTGTGTTCACTCCCAGTCAATGTTACCTTTTTGCACTGTCACTATGTTGAAATGCCCTGCAGTATAATCTTCTCCCACCTTGTTATTACATATCATATTTGTATCACTTATGTTTTATATTATTTGTCAATCAAGAGACCCATTCCCTAATTATGTACCTGTTTATTTTCAGCCTTCCGCTTGCCATGCTTTTTCAATAAACCGTTAATTATTATTATTATTATTATTATCATTATTATTATTATTATTATTATTATTATTATTATTATTACATACACAGACCGGGGGCGGATCCAGGAATATCCAAAGTTGTGGGTGGGGAACATGGGGAGCGCTGCGAGCCCACCCAGCTGGGGGGGAAGGGGGCTGCAAGCCCTCCATTTTTTTTAATCTGACCAATATCATGGGTATTTTAAGACCACTTTGAAGCCATGTGTACTTGATATTAGGAGATATTCTGATGTCAATAATTACGTTTTACTGTACACAAACGCCTGAGTGCAATACTACATTAAAGAAAAGTATCGAAATTTTCTAATGAAAAATGGGGTCCGGACCCATAGGACCCCCCTGCATCCGCCATTGTACACAAACACACACACACACAAGTTAAATTATTAGGTGTACAAAATATGAAAGAAAGCATGGTCTCTGCTGTGTCTCACCGTCAGAGAAAACGTTGAATGGGTAAGGGATACTAACACAAATATACAGTATGTTACAGAATACTAACATCATGAGAAAGAATATGCTATAAACAAGGTTAGTGTTATTATTAACCTATACCAATGTGTGAGTACTATTATTTCCTATTATTTTTAGATTTTGGTCTACATGATTAGTAATGTGAATAGAATTATATGTTAAGTGTTAAATCTAAGTAAACTGTCGCAATCTAATAAGAGGATTCCATTTTGTAGAGTAACCACACTGTATTCTCTTATGATTATCAGAGATTTGTTGATTATGCGGCCCATTCCAGGTAATTTGTGTCATATAAGAACAACTTTCTTAAATTACTTACTTACAATGGTACAATTAAGGTTTAAAGATACACTTATATCTTTATACTTTGGGTACAATGAAGGGTGTTGGTGGTACAATGATGGAGTGTTGGTGGTACAATGATGGAGTGTTGGTGGTACAATGATGGGTGTTGGTGGTACAATGATGGAGTGTTGGTGGTACAATGAAGGGTGTTGGTGGTACAATGATGGAGTGTTGGTGGTACAATGATGGAGTGTTGGTGGTACAATGATGGGTGTTGGTGGTACAATGATGGAGTGTTGGTGGTACAATGATGGAGTGTTGGTGGTACAGTGGGGTGTTGGTGGTACAAAGATGGGTGTTGGTGGTACAGTGATGGAGTGTTGGTGGTACAATGATGGAGTGTTGGTGGTACAGTGATGGAGTGTTGGTGGATGGAGTGTTGGTGGACAAGATGGGTGTTGGTGGTACAGTGATGGAGTGTTGGTGGTACAATGATGGAGTGTTGGTGGTACAGTGATGGAGTGTTGGTGGTACAGTGATGGAGTGTTGGTGGTACAGTGATGGAGTGTTGGTGGTACAGTGATGGGAGTGTTGGTGGTACAGTGATGGAGTGTTGGTGGTACAGTGATGGAGTGTTGGTGGTACAATGACAATGATGGAGTGTTGGTGGTACAATGATGGAGTGTTGGTGGTACAGTGATGGAGTGTTGGTGGTACAGTGATGGGTGTTGGTGGTACAATGATGGGTGTTGGTGGTACAGTGATGGGTGTTGGTGGTACAATGATGGGTGTTGGTGGTACAGTGATGGAGTGTTGGTGGTACAATGATGGGTGTTGGTGGTACAGTGATGGAGTGTTGTGGTACAGTGATGGAGTGTTGGTGGTACAGTGATGGAGTGTTGGTGGTACAGTGATGGAGTGTTGGTGGTACAATGATGGAGTGTTGGTGGTACAGTGATGGAGTGTTGGTGGTACAGTGGAGTGTACAGTGATGGAGTGTTGGTGGTACAGTGATGAAGTGTTGGTGGTACAGTGATGGAGTGTTGGTGGTACAATGATGGATGGTACAGTGATGGAGTGTTGGTGGTACAGTGATGGAGTGTTGGTGGTACAATGATGGAGTGTTGGTGGTACAGTGATGGAGTGTTGGTGGTACAGTGATGGAGTGTTGGTGGTACAGTGATGGAGTGTTGGTGGTACAGTGATGGAGTGTTGGTGGTACAGTGATGGAGTGTTGGTGGTACAGTCATAGAATGTTGTTGGTACAATACAGTACAGTCCCTCAACCACCTACTATCTCTGGGAAAAAGCAAAACACAAGTATATGTAGCAAGAATGAAGAAATTGTGTGACTGAAAGTGAATTGGCAATTTTGTGTCGTTTCGTGAAAAACCAAACGGTTAAGAATCGGTAAGGTGCAACCACTGGAAACTTTTTAGTCTAAACAATAGGCCATGCAGCATACCCATGCTGAACTGTATACCTGCATACATATATACAGTACCTGCATAGTTTAAGTTTATGACAATTTAACTGAATGAATAGCCTGATCTTCAAACCTTTTCCACTCTTGGAGCCTCATCTTAAGACCTTGATTCTTAAATTTCCACCAATACATGATAGTTGTGTAGGTTTGAAGCTTTACAGTACAGTACAGTACAGTGCAGTACAGTACAGTGCAGTACAGTACAGTGCAGTGCAGTACAGTACAGTGCAGTACAGTACCCTTTTTCTTTAATCATGTTGGTCATCAATAAACTAGAGAGCACAATAAAAGATGTGGACAAGTGGTGTCACTGCCAACTCTGTTACCAACTGTTAATGCTGTCATGTTCTTTATATAGCTATTAAGATTGTAGCTCAAAAAATACAATAAAGTTCTTTTGTTAACTGTGTGCGACATTTTGTTTTCATATTAAATGGTGGGATTTTTTCGGTTTCATGTACAGTACCGTGTCCAATAAATACAGTATATATATATATATATATATATATATATATATATATATTCACCCCTGAAGATGTGAATTACACGAAAGCGCTTGGGAACTTCGTGTTTTCTTCTTTCCTTGTGGTTATCAGCATATATATATATAATATATATATATATATATATATATATATATATATATATATATATATATATATATATATATATATATATATATATATCAATGTTTTTTCTGCTAATTCAAAAAATATTATTCAACCTAACCTAATAAAAATAATGTCTTTTTAAAAAATAATTTATAAAAATATATATTTTTGGAATCACCAGGAAAATCTACATTCAAAAACATATTTATAAGTAAGCAAATAATTATCTTTTACTGCCAAATAATTGCTGTGTTGCTTTGAGAAATTATCCCTAGATATCTAAATTCGATAACCTACTGATTTTATATAAATTCCTTTTATTTAATAATCTGGTGTTATCACACGATATCATGCAGGGCGCAATGGTCTTCATGTGTTTTATCGTCCAACCGCCTGGCGACGTCACCATTGAGGAGAATAAAAACAATAACATTGACTGAGCTTTCCTCTTATAGTCTCAGTCCTTGTTTCAATGGATCAGGGAGGGTTAAAGGTCCTTGCTAAATGCTCCTCGGTCCATTTCAGTGTGAACCTCTGTCAACCAAGAACTGTAAACAGTAAGGACAAACTGCTGTTACGTCATAAACTTTCGCTCCGCCCCATACAATGACGTCACGCTAGTGACGCAAGTCACCTGTTGAGTTGGGGCAGCACGGATGGTGACGGCCTTGCCTTGGTTGACGTTTGATTGTTTCCTTTTTAGAGAATGCTCCGCGGTGTTGACACCTGAAACTGGTTTTTCTTATATTTACAAACACTGGATTATTGCTTAAGAAATTACAAGAAATCTTCCCTCGTGTCTTGAAACAAGCGCGGTGTTGACACCTGAAACCCACGTACAGTACTTAACTTTACTTTTTTCAAGACTATTAAATATTTTCAGAGTTTTTTTGGACCACATATAGCAAGAGGGATGTCTCACCTTCCTGTAGATACCTTGATATCAACAGACATTCCAGAACTAAGGAGATACAAAATAAATATGAACTCTCTTCAAACAAGTTCTCAGCTAGCCTAGTACGAATCAGACAAGACAACATATTTCCTGATTTTATATAGCAAGGACTAGAATGCCTGGACATTTACAATACAATACATACCTACAGTCGGATTTTGCCATTGGAAGTTGTAGGGTTGGTACAGCCCATGGATACAGTGGTTTACTTTTTCTTGACACTTTTAATTCCACTTTCTTTACACTGTACTCAAGTCCGTAATCACTTTCTTTGAAGTGACACACACGGGCAAATTTGGTGTTTATTTTATCAGAGTGCTTGCAGCCATTTATCCATTTATCACAAGTTTTCTTATCTCTGGGAAATCTGTTAAACTTGTTGACACGCTGGAGCAGACGCGGGCACACGGAGCTCACTAGGCTTGGTGAACTATCCTTATATTATCCTTGTCGTCAAGTGGTTTAGTGTTTATTGTATCTAGTGTGGTAGCAAGTCAGCTCTGCGCCGAGGTATTTTGAACTTAATATTCGTGAATAATGAATTCCTTAGGTAGTGATAATCAGCCAGTGGTGTGTGGATACTGACGGGAGTGTGTAGAGTTGGTTTGGCGTGACAAAAAGAGAAAAATGAAGAAGTGAGGCCAATAACCTTCCCACTCCACTTCACAAGTGGATAAGCATCAGCATTCGTGAATTTCGTGGTAAGTATCAGTAGAAATAGTTTTTAAAAATAATGTTAGAATTCACGTGATAATAATACTTAGTACGGTGCCATTTATATTTGTGTTTATGTCTGCATTCGTGGCCATATTTTCCCTTTGACATATCCCATAATCTGCGGCAAAATACCCACGAAGTCCAAAAATATTTGGTGATGTTAGGCGTTTTTCCATGTTGAAAAACTTGACTTCGGTTCTTCATTTT